AATGATAAAAACCCTCAATAATGAACTCGTTGACACTTGTAACACAAAACTCATGATCACACACTATGTCAGTGTTTATTTTATCGCCCGTTCTCTCGGCGATAAACACAATTTCCCTTTTATTCTATCCATTATCTTCCACTTCTATCCCGAACGTCTTAATTGTCAACTGGACGCTGATAAATAGGATGATTTAATACTTGTATGATTCCTCGACTTACCATAAATTGATAGAAGAATTAGTTAGCATTTCTATGGAATGATATATTATCAGGAAGTACGTACCGCGCGTAAAATATCGCAAAGGTCAGGCGGATTCTTTCAGACCTTTCCAGCTATATTTGCAAGTGAAGGGAATTCTCTAATTGTTGCCTGTTCTACTCTTTATTTTTGATTGTTTTATTCTTAAATTCAAGTTGCTTTTTCATTCGTAATGGTAAAAAGGATTGTTTTTTTAGCATATTGCGTCCGTGAACGGTGAATAAACAGATGTAAATAAACAGATGATAAAAACCAGTGTGATCTCCCTAGGGGTAATTTGTCATATTTAGAAACCACTTTGGGAGTCGGTCTCTTTCATACTTTATTATTCAGGGTCACCTTGGATGAATCAATATCGTCATTTTGCTACTTAACTACTATTTTCAAGTATGCAACTGTATATCTATTATTTTGAATAAATAAATATGACAAGCCTAATATGGTTCAAATATCAAAGCAATACGTCAACTATAAAGTGGTTTAATTCGATGAAAACAAAAAATATCGAAATCAACATTAACCGTCCGCCATCTTGATGCGAAGGTTACGGCCGTTACCTTCGCTTGATACTGCCCAGTGGACTTGATGCAAAAGTAGAGAAGAATCGTTTTTCGTGATATGAATAAAAAGAAAGTGTTTTTACAGCATTAAGAGGCAGAGGTTAAATCACGACAAGCACTCAATAAGTTTTATGCTCGCTCTTTGTGAGATTGTTATCCTGTTACAATAGAACCTGCAGATTTACTTTTGATTTACTACTTGGAAAACTAATTAGATCTTAATGTTGGCTTCTTTTATGATTATCATCGTTTCTTGTACAGTTATGCATCATATTCATCTGTCAACTTCTCAATCATTACATTGGGAAAACAGAAACATTAGTAAATTAGAGCGCAGCATATTTTTATTTACAAAAGGAAAGAGCAAATATGCAAAATGTGCAAGCCTGCAAGTGTAATTTATTCAAAAATTGATAAATAGAGCGAAGCATATTTTAAATTTAGGCTGTTAAAAGAACAAATGCAAGTTTCAAAGATTCAAATTATTTTCGATTTGTTGATTATATTTTTTGTTGATAAATATGAGAAAAATAATGAAACCGCAATGTATAGATAATGCAATATCAAACAAGACAATAAGTTGATTGAATCTAGTGAAGCTATGATTAGCTATGCGTCGTATACAAAACATTTAATTTAAGAGGGATGATAACTTCAGAGTTTGTCTTGGCGAGATGCGATGGAAAGTCAACGTTTTATGTATTCAGTCGTCGAATGTTAGAAATTGTAATTCAGTATTTCTCTTTTTGCGCTGACAGTCTACTGGTTTCTCAGAATAAATAAAGAAGATGTGAAGACACGCAAGAATGATAACATAGCGGGAAACACGATAATGAAGATAACAACTAGATCTTGGATTAATTTGACTGTAACTTCAACGTTGCTCAATTTATTATTTGTAGTGGAACAGGTATATTCAAACGGTAAGTAATTTGGTGTAAAAAGTTCAATCTATTATTCAACAATGAAAATCTTAACAGGGTCGCGTAAATTTTTGGGTGTAGAAGTTATTACTAATACGCACTGACGTTTGTAAAATACCTCGGATCCTTTGTTTTATTTGTAGTAAACCTACTTTTATTGTATGATCTATATAATTTGGAACCTCTGGCAATTATCAAGAAAACCAGCGGTCGAAGTCTCGAAGATTGCGTCATAAATCAAAGAATCTTGGATTTTGATTTATTTATCAAATAGTCTCAAATCTGAACTTCAGAAAATAGGTAATACTTGTATTTCAATATTTTACATTTCTCTCAGCTATCGCGAAAACAAACACATTAATTCAATTGAGTTTACACATGAAAAGCAAACATATTTACAGTTCTATTTATTATATCATATAAAATAGATGTGTCGATCACTTAATTCAGATGATCTACTAGAAACGATCCGTTATTGTGACATAAGTTGGAACTGTATTCCTTGTTCAGACAGACTATCAGAGAAAAGATTTGACTGCAAAAATGTAGTGGAATGTATGGAGGAATGTATAGATTTCAGTTCATCTCCAAACGTGGATTTTTGTACAACGACCATAATGAATGCATCAAATATGCGAACGTTGTTAATGTCGGTGATGTTGATGTACATTCTACCGTCAAATATCGTCTGCTGGAATACCTCGTCGTCTGCCAATATGAAGATTTCTTTAAAACCATTTCAGGGTTCGGGGAAGTTAGTTGAAATCCAGAGTAAGTTGGGGCCAATGTCGTTTGTTATTTACGTTTTTCATTTCCGTTTGTTGCTTTGGTTTGATAACGAGGGTTCACGTGGGGTCACGTGGGGTCGAGGTCGCGTGAGGTCAGGTGACTTCACGATATAATCTCCAAATGCGCACATCAATATCCTGTCATCGATATCCAGTACCTCTCTGCAGCATTTTCACAATGTTTTCAATGATAACTTGATAAACGATAGGTGATGTGCTTTTTAAAAGTTTTCTTATGTAGATTTTTGAACACTAATGACACCTGAGACCAACATAAAATAAGACACAAATAATGCCAATGTTGTTTTGACTGTCTGTCAAATTAGTATTCATCATTAAATGATCTCGTCATTATTGCCATCAAACGACTGTTTACTTTTTCATATTATTGTCTTGTCTTGTTGGATTACTAGAAGAATTTCGAATTGATCGAATTATTCATGAATGTAAAAATCGACGTAAACATAATTGACGAACAAGGGAACAACCATGGCGAATAAGTTAATTGCTACATGCATTTAGCGAACATACTTTAAATTACAATATGACAATGATCAAGTAAATTGCTGTTTCGCGAAATTTTCTATATGACGATGTGACTATGATCACCTACATTGCTGTTTAGAGAATATTCTTTAAATAGCAATGTAACTATGCTCAATTCAGACCCTTTAGATAAGTTACCTGTTTTGCAAACGTATTTGAAATGACAATGTTTTGCAAACGTATTTTAAATGACAATGTGATCATGATCAATTCAGGCCCTTTAGATAAGTTACCTGTTTCGCAAACGTATTTTAAATGACCGATTCAGGCCTTTTAGATTAGTTACTTGTTTTGCAAACGTATATTAAATGACAATGTGACTATGATCAATTCAGACCATTTAGATAAGTTACCTGTTTTGCAAACGTATATTAAATGACAATGTGACTATGATCAATTCAGGCCCTTTAGATAAGTTACCTGTTTCGCAAACGTATTTTAAATGGCCGATTCAGGCCTTTTAGATTAGTTACTTGTTTTGCAAACGTATATTAAATGACAATGTGACTATGATCAATTCAGGCCCTTTAGATAAGTTACCTGTTTTGCAAACGTATATTAAATGACAATGTGACTATGATCAATTCAGACCATTTAGATAAGTTACCTGTTTTGCAAACATATTTTAAATGACAATGTGACTATGATCAATTCAGGCCCTTTAGATAAGTTACCTGTTTTGCAAACGTATTTTAAATGACAATGTGACTATGGTCAAGTCAGACCCTTTAGATTAGTAACCTGTTTTGCAAACGTATATTAAATGACAATGTGACTATGATCAATTCAGGCCCTTTAGATAAGTTACCTGTTTCGCAAACGTACTTTAAATGGCCGATTCAGGCCTTTTAGATTAGTTACTTGTTTTGCAAACGTATATTAAATGACAATGTGACTATGCTCAATTCAGACCCTTTAGATTAGTTACCTGTTTTGGAAACATATTTTAAATGACAATGTGACTATGATCAATTCAGGCCCTTTAGATAAGTTACCTGTTTCGCAAACGTATTTTAAATGACCGATTCGGGCCTTTTAGATTAGTTACTTGTTTTGCAAACGTATATTAAATGACAATGTGACTATGCTCAATTCAGACCCTTTAGATTAGTTACCTGTTTTGCAAACATATTTTAAATGACAATGTGACTATGATCAATTCAGGCCCTTTAGATAAGTTACCTGTTTCGCAAACATATATTAAATGACAATGTAACTATGCTCAATTCAGACCCTTTAGATTAGTTACTTGTTTCGCAAACGTATTTTAAAGGACAATGTGACTATGATCAATTCAGGCCCTTTACATTAGTAACCTGTTTTGCAAACATATTTTAAATGACAATATGACTATGCTCAATTCATACCCTTCAGATTAGTTACCTGTTTTGCAAACGTATTTTAAATGACAATGTGACTATGATCAATTCATACCCTTCAGATTAGTTACCTGTTTTGCAAACGTATTTTAAATGACAATGTGACTATGATCAATTCAGGCCCTTTAGATTAGTACCTGTTTTGCAAACGTATATTAAATGACAATGTGACTATGCTCAATTCAGACCCTTTAGATTAGTTACCTGTTTTGCAAACATATTTTAAATGACAATGTGACTATGATCAATTCAGGTCCTTTAGATAAGTTACCTGTTTCGCAAACATATATTAAATGACAATGTAACTATGCTCAATTCAGACCCTTTAGATTAGTTACTTGTTTCGCAAACGTATTTTAAATGACAATGTGACTATGATCAATTCAGGCCCTTTACATTAGTAACCTGTTTTGCAAACATATTTTAAATGACAATGTGACTATGATCAATTCAGACCCTTTAGATTAGTACCTGTTTTGCAAATGTATTTTAAATGACAATGTGACTATGATCAATTCAGGCCCTTTAGATTAGTACCTGTTTTGCAAACATATTTTAAATGACAATGTGACTATGATCAATTCAGACCCTTTAGATTAGTACCTGTTTTGCAAACGTATTTTAAATGACAATGTGACTATGATCAATTCAGGCCCTTTAGATTAGTACCTGTTTTGCAAACATATTTTAAATGACAATGTGACTATGATCAATTCAGACCCTTTAGATTAGTTACCCGTTTTGCAAACATATTTTAAATGACAATGTGACTATGATCAATTCAGGCCCTTTAGATTAGTACCTGTTTTGCAAACATATTTTAAATGACAATGTGACTATGATCAATTCAGACCCTTTAGATTAGTACCTGTTTTGCAAACGTATTTTAAATGACAATGTGACTATGATCAATTCAGGCCCTTTAGATTAGTACCTGTTTTGCAAACATATTTTAAATGACAATGTGACTATGCTCAATTCAGACCCTTTAGATTAGTTACCTGTTTTGCAAACATATTTTAAATGACAATGTGACTATGATCAATTCAGGCCCTTTACATTAGTAACCTGTTTTGCAAACGTATTTGAAATGACAATGTGACTATGATCAATTCAGGCCCTTTAGATTAGTAACCTGTTTTGCAAACGTATTTTAAATGACAATGTGACTATGGTCAAGTCAGACCCTTTAGATTAGTTACTTGTTTTGCAAACGCATTTTAAATGACAATGTGACTATGGTCAAGTCAGACCCTTTAGATTAGTAACCTGTTTTGCAAACGTATTTCAAATGACAATGTGACTATGATCAATTCAGGCCCTTTAGATTAGTAACCTGTTTTGCAAACGTATTTTAAATGACAATGTGACTATGCTCAATTCAGGCCCTTTAGATAAGTTACTTGTTTTGCAAACGTATATTAAATGACAATGTGACTATGATCAATTCAGCTCCTTTAGATTAGTTACTTGTTTTGCAAACGCATTTTAAATGACAATGTGACTATGGTCAAGTCAGACCCTTTAGATTAGTTACCTGTTTTGCAAACATATTTTAAATGACAATGTGACTATGATCAATTCAGGCCCTTAAGATAAGTTACCTGTTTCGCAAACATATTTTAAATGACAATGTTTTGCAAACACTCTTAAAAATTATTACTTGGATTTCCTTATATTGAGAAATTGTACTACTCATTTTAAGTCAAAAATTACTTAAATAATCTTGAACTACTGAATAATTTTTAAGTAATTTTTAAGTAATTCATTTATGGTGAATTTACTAATGCAAGGAGAGAAATTGAAATACTTACTGTAGTAATTGTAATACTCATTTACATAATTAAGCAATTAAAAAACTCAAAATGACAATATAAGTTAAACCTAAGTAAAATGAAGTAAAACTAAGTATTTAACTTTAAGTAATTTTTATACTTGGGAAATACTTGGGAAATACTCAAGTAATTCATTTTTAAGAGTGAACGTATTTTAAATGACAATGTGATCATGATCAATTCAGTCCCTTTTGATAAGTTACTTGTTTTGCAAACGTATATTAAATGACAATGTGATCATGATCAATTCAGTCCCTTTTGATAAGTTACCTGTTTCGCAAACGTATTTTAAATGACCGATTCAGGCCTTTTAGATTATTTACCCGTTTTGCAAACGTATTTCAAATGACAATGTGACTATGCATGATCAATTCAGTCCCTTTTGATAAGTTACTTGTTTTGCAAATGTATTTTAAATGACAATGTGACTATGCTCAATTCAGGACCTTTAGATAAGTTACCTGTTTTGCAAACGTATTTTAAATGACCGATTCAGGCCTTTTAGATTAGTTACTTGTTTTGCAAATGTATTTTAAATGACAATGTGACTATAATCAATTCATGTCCCTGAACCACCCAACCTCCCACAGTAACATTCATGACGATTTCAGTATATTTTATACATATGCGCTGCGTTAAAAACTATTATCAAGGTCCTAGCCTTGATTTGAAATTGGGAGAGGCAAAGGGTTGGTATCGATATGGAGAACTTTTTGAACACACGTTTCTCTTAAACCAGTCATCAAAAGATTCTGAAAATCTTAAACATCGTCAATTTAATGGTCATCTTCTGATTGGTAACAATATAATTTGAAAATATATACTTTTTTCTCTACATTGTTTTAAAAAACACATCAGACACTTCTTTTGTTCTTGGTGTCCTATGTTCGACGGAAATGAAACATCTGATCCGAACCTCATTGGAACAAAATGACATAAACACAACGTGTTTAGGTCTCTCAATATTGTAATTGTACAAAGGAAATAAAGTTTGATTGATTTAAAATAGTATCATATCTTGTTAATGATATAAAAGGTTTATCTTAATTTTTATCTATTTAGGTGGTTTTTGTTTTAATCTTTTGAATACTTTTTGTTAAATCAACCAAACTTTCCTTTGTATATCGTATAACATAAAGAGGTATATGAAAATGTTGCTTACACCCCAGTCACATTTCCTACGGCGACCTTGCGGTCTATCATTTCTGCGGCCAGTAGCTTTTCTACGCTCGCCGCAGAATTTCTGCGCTCTCATACTTTTGCAGTCACATTTCCCACGGCAGCCGCACGGTGAATTTTAAATTTCTATTGATATTGGGTTTTTTCATTTTATTTACATCAGGACAATTTATGCTAGGATGTAATATCAAATGAAAAGTGATCGTGAAACATTGACAAATAATGATTCAATCTTGTTGAGCCAGTTGATTTCTACGGGGACCTCAGAAATGAACAAATATTATAACTCCAAGTTATAATTTCTACGGCGACCCTGCGGCCTCTAAAAAACTGGATACGCCGCACGGAGGCCGCAAGGCGAGCGTAAACTACGCTCGCCGCAGAAATACACTGATTTAACTTATCTGCGGTCGACGCACGCCCTCCGTACGACGAATGTGACTGGGGTGTTACACCCCAGTCACATTTCCCACGGCCGCTGTGCGGTCTATCATTTCTGCGGCCAGTAGCTTTTCTACGCTCGCCGTAGAATTTCTGCGCTCTCATACTTTTGCAGTCACATTTCCCACGGAGCCGTACGAAGACCGCAAGGCGCCCGTAGTTTTCCTACGCTCGCCGCAGAAATTCACCGATTTTATTATTCAACAAAAACATTGTTGAATTCAGTTCACCATGTTGATACCAATCCTTTAAATGGGCGATGCAAATATCAAGTTAAAAGCAAAAACCAATGTACTACAATCATACGACTTCATTTGCAGTTTCAACTGAAAAAGTATCTGAATTAATATTTTCTGTAACAACATTTTGTTGAGGCTATTGCCTCGCCTGCAAACGCCATATGTCCTTGCTTTTTAATAAAAATGATATCCGATTTATTAGTTATAATGTGGTATTAATAGGTATTATCGTATTAAATACATTTATTGAAATAATGGTATTAAATAATTCCTGGTGATGTTCTATTAAATTATAACTAAAGAGACAAGATCGGATTAAAAAGTGTTTCTGTGAGAATACCAAATGGTATGAAGGCATTTATGGCAGATTCATTTCCAGATTAAATAACAAGTTTGATAAATTACAAGGATATAATAGCTGTCTCGTGATTATTATGTCTTTGTTACATTATTATGTAATATGCTTAATCAATTCATTTATTTATTTCTGTCTATCCTTATTGCTTCATATTTATATAATCTCTGAAAGGACAGACTTTGAGTATGAGTTACGGTCACGCTGCTTTTTTGCATTTGTTACTTGGCATGGTTTAAATAAGGTTATAATAAGTGATACCTCCGAACGACTACAGGTAGAAAAGCGAACTATCTATTCAGCTTGCCTTACGTTGCCTTACGTTGTTGTTGTTATTTTTTATTTGTCTGTTTATATTTAGAAAGTGTCCAACAATGTTGATTCAAAATCCTATTTTTAGCAGATTGAAACAAGATTAGCTTGTCCACTTTTGTGAGAAATGTGGAAAAGTCGACCTGCCATTGCTTTGAGTTTACCATGACGAGTCAATTGGAAAACCCTCTACTTTACAGTTTACTGTGGCTTACTCTTATGATCAAGATGTACAATATGGCGCTTTCATGAATGCATTTAAGATTGATTGTGATACAGGTTGGCTTTATCTTTGTAGCATTGTATCAATCACAAGACGCCTTGGCTATATTGTGTTCGGAATACTTAACATCAATGAGGTCGACATTCATTAATTCCATATCTTGTTTACATTTGTTCATTCATTTCTGATCACAGGGTTATAACAATAAACAGTAAGATTAAGTGATCATCCTCGCTATATCCAATGATGTGAAAACCAAGTCAATGAAACAAACGGTTGAATCGGATTGTGTATCTATGGTAATTTTCCGGTTACCATAACAACGATATATCTCGTATGTTTTTCTGTTTTAGATGACAAGAATGGCTGTCCAGGATATGTTGGCTACGAGGGGAAGCTAAAATCAGAGGCTGGAGTCAGATTCTCTATAATGATTGACAATTCATTCAAATGTAGTGGAGAGGTTGTTGCTTGGCAATACTACAGGTCAGCTACATGTAAATATCAAACACAAAGAGCAACATTTGAAACAAAAACATCTGGAATTTATTGAACGGTTTAATTAACGGTTTTTGTTAAAGAACATGTAAAGAAAGAACTTAGAAAGCAAATCCCCAATATGTTATTACTGATTCTATTTAATAAGAAAATGTACTCTTCAGAATTGGAGGAAATAAAGATACAAACAAACAAACAAACAACTCAAACTATGATCTGGAATTCACAAAATAAATCTTACATTCTCCCTCCTCCCCATCATTCAGAAATCATCTGCTCATCAAAGGTGAACATAATTTCCCCGATATTTGAGTGTTATATAACACTAATGTATCTCTGCTTATGATTTAGATGTACAGCACAGGACTCGATCTACGTGACAACGTGGACGCCCAGTGTAGATGATGCTCGAGTGTTTACCCTCAAGACAATTACTGAACTGCCACCAGCACCATTGGGCAAATATACAACTGTTAAACTGGATGCCCCTCTACAGGTATATAAACTGTATATTTGAATAGGCACACATGAAAATATACTACAGTCCGTTTTTCTTGTTTGCCCAACATAACCACACATGCGATTCTTTCCATTATACCCAATACGCCATGCTTGTGACGAACGAATTTTCTCTCCAATATACCAAATATGCCATGCTTGTGAATAATGAACCTTTTCTCCAATACATTCATTACGCGCCATGCTTGTGGCTAACGAACTTTCTCTCCAATATATCCGTTGCGCCATGCTTGTGACTAACGGACTTTCAAACATTCCTACAAGTATTATTACGCCATACATGTGACTAACAAACCTTCTGTCTAATATATCCAATACGTCATGCTTGTGACTAACTAGCTTTCTCTCCAATATATCCATAACGCCATGCTTGTGACTAACGAATTGAACGTTCTTTCCAATATATCCATTACGTCATGCTATTGACTAACGAACTTTCTCTCTAATATACCCAATACGCCATGCTTGTGACTAACGAACCTTCTGTCTAATATATCCAATACGTCATGCTAGTGACTAACGAACGTTCTTTCCAATATTTCCATTACGTCATGCTTGTGACTAACGAACTTCCTCTCTAATATACCCAATACGCCATGCTTATGACTAACGAACTTTCTCTCCAATATATCTAAATTACACCATGCTTGTGACAAACGAACCTTCTGTCTAATATGGCTGGCCATCTGGACCAATGTATCGTCATACTTTTAACGCCGTAAAAACGATTTCATACGCCGTAAATAATTACTTTTAACGCCGTTAAAAAGGATTTTGTACGCCGTCAAAACTGATTTTTTACGCCGTTAAAAATTATTTTTTTCGCCGTCAAAAATGATTTTTACGCCGTTAATAATTATGTACGGCGTTAAAAATCATTTTGAACGGCGTCAAACTGATTTTTTACGCCGTTAAAAATATTTTGTACGGAGTCAAAATTGATTTTTACGCCGGTAAAAAATTATTTTGAACGGCGTAAAAAACGAATTTGCACAACCAATTAAAACAATCTTTTCAAACAGCCAGCTGGATGACACCAAGTACGTTGTTTACCGTTGCCCCAATTTCAGTTATTTCACTATCAGCCATTTTTCATTTATCTAATGAAAACTCGATGTATATCAAATTCCCGGGACAGTTGTAGTCTTCCATACAACCAAATGCGTCTGGCAAATAAAAATGCCAATATAAATGATAAATGTGACATACATTAACAGAAAAAATAGGGTTTGGGATTTATATCAATCAGTCGGTTAGTCGGTTATTCTTGACGCGATCAAAATCATTTTTGACTCCGTTCAAAATGCTTTTTTACGCGTGGTCAAAAGTAAGGACGTATAAAATCGTTTTTGACGCCGTTCAAAATGAATTTTTGTTATTTTTAACGGCGTATAAAATCGTTTTTGACGGCGTTAAAAGTAATTTTTAACGGCGTTAAAAGTAGATTTTACGGCGTTAAAAGTATGACGATCACATTGGTCCCGACGGCCAGCCATACTAATATATCCAAATACGCCATGCTTGTGACTAACGAACTTTCTCTACAATATCACACTACTATACCTAACACCTAGAAATGCATAAGATACTTTGTTTGTCTAATTGAATTGTTTAATATATTTTTGAAAGTGCCTTACTAGCATCCAACTTTCAACCGATAAACCATTCATAAGGAACAGACAAATAAAAACAAATACATAATCATTACTAATAAGCCAAATGAGTTGCTCATGAACACCAAATGCAAGGTATAGTAGAGTGAATATATCCATTACGCCATGCATTTGACTAATGCCTTGGTCACATTTGCTCCGATTTTCAGTACGGCGCCCGGCCGATTGAGTATTTTGTTCAAAATTGAAAACAATATTGAACAAAACACTCAATCGGCCGGGCGCCGGCCGATGGATCGGAGCATATGTGACCCAGGCATAACGCACCTTCTTTCCAATATATCCATTACGCCATGCTTGTGACTTACGAACTTTCTCCCTAATATACCCAATACGCCATGCTTATAATGACTAACGAAATTTCTCTCTAATATAGCCAAAACGCTATGCTTGTGACTAACGGACTTTCTCTCCAATATATTCATTGCGCCATGCTTGTGACTAACGAACTTTCTCTACAATATACCCAATACGCCATGCTTATAATGACTAACGAAATTTCTCTCTAATATAGCCAAAACGCTATGCTTGTGACTAACGAACTTTCTCTCCAATATATTCATTGCGCCATGCTTGTGACTAACGAACTTTCTCTCTTCTCTTATATACCCAATACGCCATGCATATGACTAACGAAATTTCTCTCCAATATACCCGATATGCCATGCTTGTGAATAATGAACCTTTTCTCCAATATACCATGACCATAATTTTGACTAACGAATTTTTTCTCCAATATACCCATTGCGCCATGCTTGTGACTCGCGAACTTTCTTTCAAATATATCTATTACGCCATCCTTATGAAAAACGAAATTTATCTACTTTGTGTCTAACATACACAAAACTCGCCTGAATATTATGATCAATTCTTCGCTGTCTTAAATACTCATATATTCAATTCAGGTAGAGAAAGACGACGTTATTGGACTAGCCTACAAGATGGGAACTAAAAATGGCGGCCTCACTTGGGAACAGGAAAAGGATGACGTTAATGATCGTATACTTGACACTAACGAGTATTATAAAACTCACTCTAGCACCAAGGTTTTCTTGGACACTGTTACAATTGGAGATGATGTTAATGTGAAAACTCAGCTCTCCAAAAGGCCAAGTTTAATGAACTTTAGTATACGAGCAGTTATGTCTTATGGCAGGAGCTGGAGATTAAACTGCGGGAAAGTTTACAACAATGAAATCATAGGTACGTCCTGGTACTGACTTTACAAATGAACGCTTTAACAGAACCCCCCCCCCCCCTTCAATAAGTCAATAAGTTAGGTCAACTGAAGCCCCCATAGAATATCGAGGTACTGGCTGTTTATCACGGGGACTATCTAGGCCCCGCTGACATCGAGAGCAATGAGCTCATGTTAGAAGCGGGGCCTTGAGCAGTTGAGAGATATTGAAATATGAAATTTTCTATGAAAAGGACCACCAGTATATTCAAGCTCTCACTAAGTATAAAAGGTCTGGAGAGGCATCTAGGGAGATAAACAGTGGTGTGAACAAGCCAATACCACCCCGACACTGCAAATGATATGCTGAAATGGTTTAAGTGGTCAGCTCATCAGTCGCAGATTGCATTACAATGGGCAGCTCATCTGCCGGAACTAAATCACCCAGATTTTTATCTTTGGGGATTTCTCAAAGCCAATGTGTATACTGACATGCCCCTAACATTCTTAGAGGGCAATAACTAACCCAATTCGTACCATCCACATTGATGAATATACTGAAAAGAAAAGACATAAACATCAATTTGCTGAATTTCATCAGCCTCATGTTGTACCTTACCCCGCGCGTTCAACTGTCACGCTTAATTTGGTACACATCCTGCACATTCGTAAAAACAATATAACTGATGAATTCCCGTGCGTTTTGCATTCAGCTTGCGATCATTATGTCAGTCCTTCAAAAAGTAATTTATTTTGACCACGAGAGCACACGATTTAATCATTCAGGACAATATCTTAAACTCGCAAAATCATTTTTACTTTCAGGTCCAAATAAGAATGAATTACAGATGAGAAAGTTGGAAGAATATGGAGATAATTGGATCATGAGTTTCGGGACGCCAAAGCTTTCAGAATACAAGACTACAAAACTCATAAGTTGTATTGCAAAATGTATTGCTAAACCAGAGTGCATGAGTATAAACTTCAACAAACAATATATGGGTGGACAATGTAACCTTTACCAACTTCACAAACCTAGAGCACCTATTCACCTGTACAGGGCAACTGACAAAGGTTGGACTATGTATTCATGCATACCAAAATAAAATTATCATTACAAGCGAACCGACGATGATTGTATATTCATGTATACCAAAATAAAGTTATCATTACGAGAGTACCTATTCATGGGTACAAGACAACTGACGGTGACAGGACTATTATACAAATAGTGACTGCCATTTAGGGAAATAGTGCAAAATATTTTCCTCAAGGGAATATCCTGTCCACTGACATGTTCCCGAGGCTGCAGGCCGAGGGAACAAGTCAGTTGACAGGATATTCCCGAGAGGAAAATTTTTACACTATTTCCCGAAAATGTGGCAGTCACTATTTGTTTTATTATATACCTGATAAGTACTCTGTAAACAATAACAAAATGAGAAGTCTTTTCATTTCAATATCAAATGTTCACAGGTTCTTAAAGGCATTTTACCTTTCAACTCCTATAATCTCAGATTTGGGGGAAGATAAAACGTACTATTGACTGGTCACATGACCTAACTGGTGATTAGTACAATTCATCTTCCCTGAAAGCAGGGATTTAGGACTTTCCAGGGAATTAGTTCATCTATTCCATGTCATGTGACCATGAATAAGCCAATGTGCATCTAGAATACATTTGAGGTATATAATAATAGGTATTAATGCATGCCAAAATAAATTTTAAAAGATAGTTATTTTGCGCACAAGAAGGTAACTGACGAAGGCTTGATCATACGTATCTGTCATTTACGAGATGCGTACAAAACATTGAGGAAAGCTGGATAAACTAAACGTGCATACCAAAATAAAGTTATTTATTTAATGAGAAAAATCTGTATGTATACTTATGCTTGCATTTGTGATTGCAACGGTGCATATACTTAGAGGTTATGTCACTATGACGTGAAATATGCCTGAGTTCTCCCAATATAGGCCGACCTTGGGAGGCTCTATATTTGGGCAAGAACGAAGGTGTGATGTATTACATGCCTTTGTTCCCATGGTTACTTTGTATCAATGACGTGACGTCATGATATTATCATGGTTATTAAAGAAATCTAATATCAAAACGAGGTAAGCGGGCTATATCGGGGTAATCGGGCAATATCGGTGGATATAGCTCGCTAACTTTCCCATTAACTTCCATACAAATGCTTCGCTAGGTATGTAATACATTGTGTGTACATTGCTTAGATTCTTGAATTCTAGATTTTGAAGCTGTAAATACATTGTAAGAATAGACCAGATGCAAGTACATGAAGACTGACAAACAATCTTGATTTACATTATTAAATATTCAAAAATTGGTCAAAGTGATGTTATATTTGAAGTCTACATGTAAAGTTACACTTACAAATGTGGTTTCAAAAATTGTTGATTAAACTTTGAATTTAATTTTCTTTGAAATATGACTTCTAAATGTATATCACCCTTTCCAGACAGTGCTTGCAGAAACACTCGGTGGAGATGTCTGCGCGGTGTGAAACCCTTTTTGATATACTATAGGCAAAGGCCGATAGGAATAATTTTCTAATAAAGATGGCATGGTAGAGAAAAATATAATTCTGGATTATGTTGGTGCTGTCATCTTTATATCGGCTCAGAACCTATGATATAAACCATGCTTTTTAAATCACGTGCCGTGTATTTAATCATATTCAACATGCAATTCCCATCTCTTGTGTATGAACATCATGTGGTTGATTTTGTTAAAATACATATCTCATAATTTTAATTGCCTTATATAAGCGGTCAAGAAAATGACCAGGGGGTGGGGGGGGGGTTTATTGCTTTCAAATATCTATCATGAGAGAAAAATTCATACCTGTTAATTAAATAACGCTACTGATAAACTTTACTTTCCTTTTCTTTACATAATCACATTCCTGACTTTCTAAATGGCAGCTAAACAGGAAACAACAGGAGCCAAGTGAAAATTATATTTTAAAAATACTCTATTATTTCTTGTCAGACATATATTAATTAATTAATTAAAATTCTTTGACATTACATTCAATCATTGTTGCATTAATTAATTGTTTTGAGGTATACAATTGTAAATACATTTAAATACAAGTGAACAATCTTATTAAGGAGGTCATTAACAGTGAACTTGAAACGATGAAAGTTCAGGAAGTCTCTCATAATGACCTCCTAAATACAGAATTTTATTGACATGATTGAAGGAAAATACAATAAAGTTTAAAATCATCTAATGAGATCAATCAATGGTCGTTGTATAAGTACATGTATATTATTAAGTAAATTAAATAATTCAGTCAGTGTTACCATTTATCACATACCAGGAGTGGTACAGTATGGTATAGACAAACAAATTAGCTATAGCAAGATGCTCTAACAAATTGTCTGTTTCTACACTGTACAAAAACGTTTTTCTGCTATTGGAGGGGGAGATACACAGCGGGAGATTTATACACCACACGGACCCAAGATTTCAATTCTATATCTTGCTGTTATGTTCTTGAAACCTCATTTGGCACAGGATGAATGCACAGACTGGTAATACAATGCTCTGTTGGTGTTACAGTAAACCTGTCTTGACTGTTGGTAAACCTGCCTTGACTGTTTTAGGGTTAGAGTTGTATATTGCATTAGGTACTCATACAAGAACTACATCTATATCTTGTTTAATCAGTCTTTGTACCATAAATATGTGTGCATATTTTTACTCGGAGGCACAGAGCTAAGCACAAATAACTATGCTCTGAAAAGTACAAATAATGATAATGCTAATATTTTAATATGATCTGATGACCCCCTAGGATTTCCGCCAAGTCAGAGTGTACAAGAAGTTATCTTTTTAAGAAGTGAAATCAAACTATTGGACAGAGAAGTGCCATTTGGCATGTAATGGTTGACAGAACACTATTGGAAACTTTAGAATTGGGTTTATGTCAGGTATTAATCAGAAAGGTTTTGAACAATACTGTAGACTGAGATATTTCACAATGAACTATTGGACACGAAGCCTCTTGTTATTATTCTTTTCTGCACATTCTTCTGCCTTTTTCTTCCTCCACACACACACCTCACCGAAGTCACATTTTTTACATTTCCAAGCATCTTCAATATCAACGCCATCTATTGTGCGCTCCCCCTTCCAATATGATATAGCATGCGCCATCTTTTGATTGAACACCTTCTCATTAAATAAAACTTCTTCTATACCAATCAAGGACTTATCTCTCTGGAATGTGTATTCAATATATATTTGGTTGATACATGTCAGATGTCGCATATGGGAAAAACATACATCCAATAGTTGATCTAAGTTTTTAACATGGAAGGCATCTATTGTTGCACTTCTAATTTCATTGAGGACACCAGCACCGAGTTCGGCTGTAAGGTCGAGTCTTAGGTGATGAGCATAAGCTTCTTTATCATAAAATTTTCCAGTGACTAGCTCATCCCACATTTGATTGTAAATACACAACTGCATTTCATGAGTTTTTTTCTGAGCATTCCCGGGAGTGGAATTACTTTCTCTAGTTTTGAACTCCACGAGATCAAGTTCCTGAGTATTTGGATCGCAACGAATTTCATCAATTATACCAACAATGAACACGCCATGATTTGATGGCATACCAAATATGGGAATTTCACGTCGAGAATGTCCCTGCATTAGGCTGTTAGCTGCTATAATCATGTTTAGTAGCTTGATAGCATATTTGTCTTCTCTACAGGTTACATCAACTTGAACTGGTGTCTGAATCTCTAATTCTGGAAAAATAAATACTTCCAATATTTATTTATTTTATTTACAATATTTTACCTACTTCCTGTTTATGATAGCTAAAGCCACATGAAAACTATGTTTAATTTAATAAAGGCAACCTGTAATGCCACATGGCGATTGGTATGCTTTTATATGTAATTGTTTGTATTGTTTTCAACAAGTGAAATAAAATCATTAATAATAATACGAAAAAAAAAATTCTGGAAAAACAATTTAGATGACAATACTGTAAATTGACTTTATTTTGGTGCCCACTTTGATAAGATTATTTCAATGTACCAAATCTATATAACGAAATCTATCTGTACCATTCACCCCCCCACATACCACCTCCCCTGAACTTAATTCTATGCGATAATAAGAGCATGTAGTTAGGGAAAAATACCTCTTTCAGCATGCATGTCAGTTCCAGCTTTAACAGATGGTTTATTAGCAAGGTCTTCAATGATCACATCCCCCATCTCATCAAGGGGAGGTCTTAACTTGTAGAACATCTGCTGTTCACACCAGGCCTGGCCAACAAAGTCTGTCACCCACAACATTCCTCCTCTAATTGTATGTAGAGGATCTTGAGGTAGCTTGGCCCTCTCTGAAATTATAGTTTGAAGAAATTGAGTTTATGTTTAATAATTACTCTACATGCCATTACCTCTCTGGTGTACAATACTGTATGTAGGTCATTCTAGTCTCCTGGTGTCAAGGTCCTCATTTCAATTCCTGTGTCTCCCACAGTCTTGCTAATTAACTAGAACACCAGAGAGGTGATTACTAGAGTGCTGCTGACTCAATAAAAGGCTGGCACTTGTTAGAACTACCTATTGTCCTAGCCAGGATAAAGATACCAGGAGAAAGATGGGAAAATTCAACCCCTAAACAATAGAATATGAGAATGGAATCAGGCGTAAAGCCATCCTCCGTAAGCACCCTGCCTTCAAAATCCAGAATATATTCTTCCTTTTTACAGAAGAAGGAGGTATGGATTCTGGACATCTGCTTAGGAGGATGGCGTAAAGCCTTCGCTGAAAATATTAAACTCATAAATGTACCTTCAAAGAAATCAGCTGCAGCGACTAAATAATCATCTTCCAAACTATCTTCCCAGATATCATCAGCATCATTTTCTTTATTGGAGGTGCTCCCCTTTTCAGAAATAATTTTCATACTTTGCTCTTCAGCTTTTGAGCACATTTTGATTAATGTCATTCAATAGATTCAAATGTCTGAATAGCCTGGTTGTATAGGAGTTATTCAATTTGAATTTCAAAACTAAATTTGTTTGTTGAATTTAGAATTTGTTTTCACGAATCTGTCATGGTTAAAAGTTACGATCTTTTGACCAAAGCTGTCCTCTTATAGTTATGAATTCGCCCTCGCATCATCTAGTTTGCAATCATCCCCAATATTACTGTTTAAGTGATTAATTTAAACGTTATTTTGGGCCTGCTCAAACTCCATCTTTGTTTACATCCGGTTCAGTCGTTAAAGGTCAAGGTCGTTGGAGCCGCCATATTTGATTTGAAGCGGAAAAAAAGATACGCCCCTTTCTAAATCCACAAACATCGATCTCAATTGTGAGTAAAATCACCTTATTGATATTTACAAATTTAAAACAAATATTTATGTACAGTTTTAGTCACGTTATGTTTAAAATATACCATGAAAAAGATATGAAATAAGTCATAGATATTCACCGGTATCCGGAAAAATTGATAATTTTATGGAAAAATATTGATTTTTACATTTTTGGAGCTTGTATCACTGAATTTGTCGATATTTGTGATTTGAACTGTTATTTTTGACATATCAAAAGATGCCCGCTAGCTATAGTTATAGCCATTTGTGATTGTAGATAATTTTTGCTTCGACAAGGAGATTTTGAATCGAAAATCCGGGGTTTACAAAAACACCGACCGCCGACCACTGACCAGCAGAGCTGTCAAGTGTCCCGCGAATGGCGGGATTATACCGCGAATTTGACCAAAATTTGGCTAATTCGCGTGTCCCGCAATGTCCCGCAAATGTCCCGCGAAGTCCCGCAAATGTCGGCTTTGACCTCCGCGAATGTTCAAAATTGTAACAATCCCCGAGGCTAAATAATTGTGATTATCTTGTGATATAAGAAGCTAAAGCTATTTGCACTTTTGAGGAGTCAAGTTTACCTAATTTGAAAAGTGCTGCCGAACTCCCAGTGCATCAGATCATCGAAGACTGCTTTTGGAAAGAGCATATAAGAGCATATAGTACATTTATAAAACTGTGATCTTGATCCAAATAACACCCTAGTTGGCTTCTCAAGTACCCAGTATGCCGTTTGGTATCAAAATAAAGAGGAAGAGTGCAATTTTCATTTTAATTACGGAAATAGGGATGTATGTCACGATTAGTTCCAACGTTGGCCTTTTTACTACGCGTGTCACGGCCTTCATCTCAGAACTGAACAAATGTTAGCAAACGCGAGTTCCAATAAATGGAAACTGATATCTCGAAAAGAAACCTGACTCCCTATAATTTGATGTAGAATAATCGAACCCCTATATGAATAGTTACATTTTGATATATAACACTATGGGGGGTAAATGTTTCATATATGACTAGTTACATTTTGATATATAACACTATGGGGGGTAAATGTTTCATAGTTGGTCAAGAACGCCATAAGTGCAAAGTATTGACAAGAATTTTTGAATTTTGTGTTGGATTACGGTACTCACACATAAAGCGTGATTTTTTGATAGTTTAATAATAGTTCTATGCGTATTGTGTGGAATTGTGTTGACGTTTACTTAAGTTAGTGCATTACATTTGATAAATCAGTATCTGAAAGTTTGATTTGAGTACTTTTACATTAAGCCCCAATCACGCAAATCCCTTGAATGTCCTGCGACATCACGCAAATTTAGGTGGATGTCCCGCAAAATCCCGCGGATTTAGGGCACTTTGTCTAAAAAAATTATCCCTCTATGAAGTCTTTGGTGGTTACCCTGTTAACTGCCCCGCAAGTAGCGTGTTTGTCCCTCGAATGGTCCAGCGAAATCCCGCGAATTTGATCAAAATTTGACCTTTTAGCGCAATCTCGCAAATCCCTTAAATGTCCCGCGAAATCCCGCGAATTTAGGTGGATGTCCCGCAAAATCCAGCGAATTTTTGGCACTGGGTCTAAAAAAATCTGTCCCGCGAGAAAATCTTTGGGGGTTGACAGTACTGGACCAGTCACTCTCCACAGTTGGGTACATGTGGTCGGTGGTCGGCTGACGGTCTTTTACATAAAGATGAAAAAATGAAAAATTCGAAGTAAAACTAAAACTGGGAATCCAATGACTATAGTACCTTTACTTTATAGTCACTTTAGAAAAAAATGCACGTAACATTGCATTAAGTTCATTCATATGAAACGCAATAACAAAAACGCACAAACATCGTCGATGTTGACGTCGTAGCGTTATGTTTGATTTCTCTGTTGTTAAACGTCAACTGGTAAAAACAACATTTGATATGACAAAAAAGCTTTCTAATGGTGTACTGAAATGGTAAGTCACTTTTAATCCCTATAAGAGAATGCATGGAGCATTATATCGTGTTCAGTATTCAGTAGGCTATGACGATAACAAATCATTTTTGTTTCGAAATTGTTAAACCTGCACATCACTCCAAAATGCAATATGTTGACATATATTGTTTTTACATTTTCAAGCTCTAATATAAAGTTTATGTAGATAAAAATTGTTTTTTCTGCATAATATCAAAGAACAATCATTTAGTTAAAAAAATAAAAAAGTTTGTGCGGGATTCCAACCCGAGCCTCCTGCGTGCCCGGGTTCGTGCAAATTATTAATATTTTAAGGCTACAAATATGTTCGGTCTTTTACATGATATGGTCGGTCTTTTACACATTTTCTTCAAACCCTGTTTTGAGGCTACCAGTGGAAAACACTGACCGGTCGGTGGTCAGTGGGGTCGGTCTTTTTCGTAAACCCGAAAATCCGTTCATCAAATTTTGACATAATTCTGAGATTATTTTGGGCAAAAAGGGGTATAACATTGACATGTAGGGTAATGTTGATATGAGAAATGGGGCAACTTTGACACTTAGGTACTAGTTTCATGGCCCATTTTTTCGGTATAAAATATACAAAAGTTAGGACATGTATAAATGTTTCTATTTTTACGATTACATATTCTGTTTCAATATGGCAGTCATGGAGATAGGCAGTCGCCAACTCGACAATGCGAGAATTAACATGACTTAGTCGAGAATTCGGCCAAAACATGTTGCCTTATAGATTGATTCCTATTCTTGATACCTGTCAGTTCAATTTACCCAGTTATAAGGCCCAAGACTTATATTTAGCAATATTTTTACCAAATTTCCTTCGTCAGTTTGTTATCTCGGGCTAGTAGTTTACACGTGAATCTAGCTTTGACAATCAGTTGTGCACATTCCCGGGTCAATATGTTATGACAAATCACTCATAGGTTATGTCATCACGTGACTTCCAGGTCCATATATGGTAAGGAGGGTTGGCATTTGTCTTTATGATTGACATGGCCGCTATGCATAAGAATTATGATTTATTTAGCAATTACCAGTGACTGACGATACAATAGATTATGTACAAAAATATGAACATCAACACTCTAAATCGCTCGTACTTTTCATGTATCAAAACAGCAATCGATGAATCCCCAAAAAAATATTTGAATTTCAAGTTTATTCCGATTTTTTGCATATTACCATGTATTTAAACGTACATACGACATAGCATTTAATGCAGATATGTTCAATTGATTCAAAACATATATATTTCACGCCAGAAAGACGAGTATTTTTTATTTTGTAGTGTGAGTAGACGAAATATTTTTCAACTTCAGGCCGACTCCGAGTCCGCTTAAACACATGATTCAATTGATTTAATATTCTTTTGAACTCATCTCCCCCCAGAACTGCCAGTGATGTTTGTTTCAAAAAAATAAAAATCTTGTAAGATCTCGATCTGTGTGCGAAAACTTGGCTCCCCCTTGATCAGAAATTAGAGCAAATATACAACAAAACTCAAGGTGTCGAAATTTACCCCATATATATCGAATTTACCCAAAATGGAAATGAAATGATGTCAGTGTTATACCCCTTCACGCTCATCTCAGGTCTATGTTGTTCTAATTGTTATCTGATCAGATAATAGAGCTTTATTGTGATAGACTTGAATGAGTCGCTTCTGAAGTCCTTTGCCTACTTTAATTTCACGCTTGTTTTTCACCCAGTTAGTGATCCAAATTAGATAAAATCAGAAGCACTTTGGCATCTTTGAAATTATTATCGTAAATCAATTCTCTACATGTATGTTGTAGAATGACTGATCTCTTACCATTTCCAATAATTTTGCCTCATTGTGAATATGTTTCAGATAAAAGGGCAAGATGACAGACTCCAAATATTTCACCACCACCAAAAAAGGTAAGTTTCAATATCTTTTGAACTCCAGGTAATTGACTTATGCTTACACATTCCTTAGATCCACTTCTGGGAGAGCTGGATGTGTTTCACTTTCAGTTAATCCATCAACTTTATTGGTTGTACCATCAGAAGTGCTTGAGTCATTAGTGTGTGAGAGCAATATACCTTCACTTGTAGCATTCAGCTTGTACATTCACTCCTAGTGACTCAACTTGTACAAGCATAGCTGCTCGTGTGGACATTTTCAATTCTTTCTAATAATTTTATGAAGACTTGTTTATCCCACAATGTCTCCACAGAACCCTCTGGTCTCTCTGCGAAAGTGCTGAAATAACATCTGTAACTGTACATTTCCATTTAACTGTACTTTATTGACATAAATACATCTTTTTGTAAGCATCAAATAAAAAAATTCAAACTTTTCACAAATATAAAAGTATTTTGAATTCCCTATTAAAACCTGTTAAGTGGAACATTATTTTGACCTAAGGCATTCCACTTATGACGCATTTCATAATACATTAAAACCTGTCTAGGTAGAACACCTTGATACTTCTAAGAAGTGTTTCATTTGGGGGGGGGGTGTTCCACTTATAGAGAGTTTCATTTCACATTAGTCAGTTGGTCATGGGACTCTGAAAACTGTTGCACTAACAGAGGGTTTCCAATTAATAGACTTAACTGCATATATCTATTATCAAATTCATTGAAATGTGTTCAATATTTGTACTGTAGGTGAGATCTATGAATTGAAAGGGGAGTTGAACAGTGAGAAAAGAGACAAAAAGAGGGAAGCAGTGAAGAAAGTCATTGCATCTATGACAGTTGGGAAAGATGTCAGGTAAGAGGCTCAAAATGATTTGGATATTTACATGTTTATCACAGGCCAGGGAGTTTGTTCTCTAAATTCCATTTTCTCCCTGAGAAATGTCAACTAACACTCTAAATTTCAAGGTATCCCACACCGCAACAGGATTCAAAAGAATTTTCAACTGAATTTTTAAAATTATGTTTGGACTTCATCTTTTAAGGAATCCTACATGTTCCATGTTAACTTTTTTCTTTCATTTGCTTTATCTATTCAAAATTCTTATGAACACCCATATTTTTTATGCATGTGTATACAATAATTGATTTTTGATTTCAGTGCCCTGTTCCCAGATGTTGTGAATTGTATGCAGACAGACCACTTAGAATTGAAGAAGTTGGTCTATCTCTATCTGATGAACTATGCCAAGAGTCAACCTGACATGGCTATCATGGCAGTCAACACATTTGTAAAGGTAAGAATGAGTCACTGATGTAATGCAGTGGTTCTAAGGCCACGTTTTGAGATTTGCAACGTAGTAATTTAAAATTTTTTTTACCACACCTGAATTTCAAAGTGCTTTGTTGTCGTGCGTGCACATGTGTGTGTCTCTGTAATGCAGTGGTTCTAAGGCCACGTAGAAATTTAAATTTTTTTTTTACCACACCTGAATTTCAAAGTGCTTTGTTGTCGTGCGTGCACATGTGTGTGTGTCTCTGTAATGAACTGGTTCTAAGGCCAAGTTTTGAGATTTGCCACGTAGTAATTTAAAATATTTTTTACCACACCTGAATTTCAAAGTGCTTTGTTGTCGTGCGTGCACATGTGTGTGTGTCTCTGTAATGCAGTGGTTCTAAGGCCACGTTTTGAGATTTGCCACGTAGTAATTTTAAATTCTTTTTACCACACCTGAATTTCAAAGTGCTTTGTTGTCGTGCGTGCACATGTGTGTGTGTCTCTGTAATGTAGTGGTTCTAAGGCCACGTTTTGAGATTTGCCACGTAGTAATTTAAAAAAAATTTAACCACACCTGTATTTCAAAGTGCTTTGTTGTCGTGCGTGCACATGTGTGTGTGTCTCTGTAATGCAGTGGTTCTAAGGCCACGTTTTGAGATTTGCCACGTAGTAATTTAAAAAAAATTTACCACACCTGATTTTCAAAGTGCTTTGTTGTCGTGCGTGCACATGTGTGTGTGTCTCTGTAATGAACTGGTTCTAAGGCCAAGTTTTGAGATTTGCCACGTAGTAATTAAAAATTTTTTTTACCACACCTGAATTTCAAAGTGCTTTGTTGTCGTGCGTGCACATGTGTGTGTGTCTCTGTAATTCAGTGCTTCTAAGGCCACGTTTTGAGATTTGTCACGTAGTAATTTAAAATATTTTTTACCACACCTGAATTTCAAAGTGCTTTGTTGTTGTGCGTGCACATGTGTGTGTGTCTCTGTAATGCAGTGGTTCTAAGGCCACGTTTTGAGATTTGCCACGTAGTAATTTTAAATTCTTTTTACCAAACCTGAATTTCAAAGTGCTTTGTTGTCGTGCGTGCACATGTGTGTGTGTCTCTGTAATGCAATGGTTCTAAGGCCACGTTTTGAGATTTGCTACGTAGTAATTTAAAAAAAATTTAACCACACCTGTATTTCAAAGTGCTTTGTTGTCGTGCGTGCACATGTGTGTGTGTCTCTGTAATGCAGTGGTTCTAAGGCCACGTTTTGAGATTTGCCACGTAGTAATTTAAAAAAAATTTACCACACCTGAATTTCAAAGTGCTTTGTTGTCGTGCGTGCACATGTGTGTGTGTCTCTGTAATGCAGTGGTTCTAAGGCCACGTTTTGAGATTTGCCACGTAGTAATTTTTTAATTTTTTTTACCACACCTGAATTTCAAAGTGCTTTGTTGTTGTGCATGCACATGTGTGTGTCTCTGTAATGCAGTGGTTCTAAGGCCACGTTTTGAGATTTGCCATGTAGTAATTTAAGATTTTTTTTACCACACCTGAATTTCAAAGTGCTTTGTTGTCGTGGGTGCACATGTGTGTGTGTCTCTGTAATGCAGTGGTTCCAAGGCCACGTTTTGAGATTTGCCACGTGGTAATTTTAAAATTTTTTTACCACACCTGAATTTAAAAGTGCTTTGTTGTCGTGTGTGTGTCTCTGTAATGCAGTGGTTCTAAGGCCACGTTTTGAGATTTGCCACGTAGTAATTTTAAATTTTTTTTACCACACCTGAATTTCAAAGTGCTTTGTTGTCGTGCGTGCACATGTGTGTGTGTCTCTGTAATGCAGTGATTCTAAGGCCACGTTTTGAGATTTGCCACGTAGTAATTTTAAATTTTTTTTACCACACCTGAATTTCAAAGTGCTTTGTTGTCGTGCGTGCACATGTGTGTGTGTCTCTGTAATGCAGTGGTTCTAAGGCCACGTTTTGAGATTTGCCACGTAGTAATTTAAAATTTTTTTTACCCCACCTGAATTTCAAAGTGCTTTGTTGTCGTGCGTGCACATCTGTGTGTGTCTCTGGGGAATCTTATAATCAAAACTCCAGGGGCGGTGAATTCGTGCAATCCGCGATCCGATCTGGATAAATTTCGTCATGGTAATGATGCATTGTGGGATTAATCCAAGAATTTATCCAAAAATGGTGAATTCGTACGATCCTGAGATTAATCTCAGGATAAATCTCAATCCACCTCTTGAGGTGGATTACTTTTTGGATAAATTCTATCCAAATTACAATGCAAATTGGATAAATCTTGGGGATTCCCCCTCATAATCCTTTGATCGTACGAATTCACCAAATATTTATCGGATAAGTAATCCAAGATTTATCCCAAAAGATAAAATTTATCTGGATTGGATTGGGGAATATGAATTCACGGCCCCAGGAAACTACTACCTGTTCAACTTGGTGGCCATTTTGAATTATTTTCAATAAAAAAGTGTGATATTTATCACAGTGTGTTTTGGTATTCTTTAAATTGATATATTTTCCATTTTTTACATGATATTGCGTTGGTAAATGTATTTTGGAATATCTAGATTTCCATATATGATAAAATGTTAAACTGCATGTATGATAAAATGTTAAACTGCATGTATGATTTAAACTAATTAAATATTCATGTTGTGTTTTATAGGACTGTGAAGACCCAAACCCTCTCATACGAGCCTTAGCAGTAAGAACCATGGGATGCATAAGGGTTGACAAGATAACAGGTAAGAAGCACAGCGAGTTAGATTGAAAAATTGATGCCATATCCAGTAGTAATCCTTCCAAACCAATTAAAACAATTTCCAAAAAGCAAAGCCAAGTTTACAAAAACCTTGAAAACAACAAGTTGTCTTGTAGCCCTTCCATCCAGATTTATTTTTGACCAACATTAGGGGTTTCATAGGAAGCAGTCGATTTTATCCGTTTGTTACAATGTTAAAATTATAACCCATAATTTTACCCCCTTTCATTGGTTTAGTCTGCTCTTAGAAATTCTACTAGACCCCTTGACATGACCCCTGATTAATTATTTAATGCCGACATTAAAATTCGAAGTGTTTATAAGTCACTTACTTGTACGACCCTTTTGAATCTGTTACAGAGTATTTGGGCGAGCCTCTCAGGAAGTGCTTAAAGGATGAGGACCCCTATGTGCGTAAAACTGCCGCAGTGTGTGTAGCCAAGCTACATGACATCAATCCTATTCTGGTAGAGGATCAGGGTTTCCTTGAACTTCTCCGAGACTTGCTTGGTGACTCCAACCCAATGGTATAAAATTATTCTATTCTGCTGATTGTTTAAACCCACTTATGTTGAGATGACTTTTGAAAGCTAAAATGAATTATGCAAATTATGTTCACATCGTCATCACCATTTTTAAGGTAGTATTTTAAGGTTAACACATTCCTTAGATCCACTTCTGGGAGAGTTGGAGGTGTTTCACCTTCAGTTAATCCAGCAACTTTATTGGTTGTACCATCAGAAGTGATTGAGTCATTAGTGTGTGAGAGCAATATACCTTCACTTGTAGCATTCAGCTTGTACATCCACACTTTGTGACTCAATATGTACAAGCATAGCTGTTTGTGTGGACAAAACAAAATATTTTTTTCCATATAGAATTTACTACTCTAATGTATGCAACCCTTTTCTCACTGCATGAACACACAAGGGGCAACGAGGATGTCTGATTGTCCATTGTCAGGCTTCTGCCACCAGTTGACACCTCCCTCCCCTCCCTTCATTACTCCCTCTATTAGGGTTAGGAAATTAAATAATTATTATAATGGGTGTCATATATTACATACATTGTTAAACAAACTTGTATTTGCCTGTACCAAACTTCTGTATAATCTACAATAAACTATGCTTTTAGCTTATAGCCAGATCACAGTTGTACTGTTAACAATGGGTATTTTTGTAAAATGAATTTTATATCTTTCCTTACCTTACCCCCCCCCCCCCCCATGTGTACCTGTTTACTTGATCTTACTAAAATGTCATTATGTTGAACATTGTAGGTTGTTGCTAATGCAGTAGCCGCCATGTCAGAAATCGTAGAAACATCTCCAACAGCTTTGAAAATGTTGGAAATCAACTCTGCAACCATTGGTAAACTCCTGACAGCCCTGAATGAGTGCACAGAGTGGGGCCAAGTGTTTATCCTTGACTCCATTGCTAATTATAGTCCGAGGGATGAACGTGAGGCACAAAGGTAAGGTACAAAGAATCATTTTGTACAAAGACAATACACACTGGTCCAGTCACACAAGTTGTGCCCTGAATGAGTGCACAGAGTGGGGCCAAGTGTTTATCCTTGACTCCATTGCTAATTATAGTCCGAGGGATGAACGTGAGGCACAAAGGTAAGGTACAAAGAATCATTTTGTACAAAGACAATACACACTGGTCCAGTCACACAAGTTGTGCCCTGAATGAGTGCACAGAGAGGGGCCAAGTGTTTATCCTTGACTCCATTGCTAATTATAGTCCGAGGGATGAACGTGAGGCACAAAGGTAAGGTACAAAGAATCATTTTGTACAAAGACAATACACACTGGTCCAGTCACACAAGTTGTGCCCTGAATGAGTGCACAGAGTGGGGCCAAGTGTTTATCCTTGACTCCATTGCTAATTATGGTCCGAGGGATGAACGTGAGGCACAAAGGTAAGGTACAAAGAATCATTTTGTACAAAGACAATACACACTGGTCCAGTCACACAAGTTGTGCCCTGAATGAGTGCACAGAGTGGGGCCAAGTGTTTATCCTTGACTCCATTGCTAATTATAGTCCGAGGGATGAACGTGAGGCACAAAGGTAAGGTACAAAGAATCATTTTGTACAAAGACAATACACACTGGTCCAGTCACACAAGTTGTGCCCTGAATGAGTGCACAGAGTGGGGCCAAGTGTTTATCCTTGACTCCATTGCTAATTATAGTCCGAGGGATGAACGTGAGGCACAAAGGTAAGGTACAAAGAATCATTTTGTACAAAGACAATACACACTGGTCCAGTCACACAAGTTGTGCCCTGAATGAGTGCACAGAGTGGGGCCAAGTGTTTATCCTTGACTCCATTGCTAATTATGGTCCGAGGGATGAACGTGAGGCACAAAGGTAAGGTACAAAGAATCATTTTGTACAAAGACAATACACACTGGTCCAGTCACACAAGTTGTGCCCTGAATGAGTGCACAGAGTGGGGCCAAGTGTTTATCCTTGACTCCATTGCTAATTATAGTCCGAGGGATGAACGTGAGGCACAAAGGTAAGGTACAAAGAATCATTTTGTACAAAGACAATACACACTGGTCCAGTCACACAAGTTGTGCCCTGAATGAGTGCACAGAGTGGGGCCAAGTGTTTATCCTTGACTCCATTGCTAATTATAGTCCGAGGGATGAACGTGAGGCACAAAGGTAAGGTACAAAGAATCATTTTGTACAAAGACAATACACACTGGTCCAGTCACACAAGTTGTGCCCTGAATGAGTGCACAGAGAGGGGCCAAGTGTTTATCCTTGACTCCATTGCTAATTATAGTCCGAGGGATGAACGTGAGGCACAAAGGTAAGGTACAAAGAATCATTTTGTACAAAGACAATACACACTGGTCCAGTCACACAAGTTGTGCCCTGAATGAGTGCACAGAGTGGGGCCAAGTGTTTATCCTTGACTCCATTGCTAATTATGGTCCGAGGGATGAACGTGAGGCACAAAGGTAAGGTACAAAGAATCATTTTGTACAAAGACAATACACACTGGTCCAGTCACACAAGTTGTGCCCTGAATGAGTGCACAGAGTGGGGCCAAGTGTTTATCCTTGACTCCATTGCTAATTATAGTCCGAGGGATGAACGTGAGGCACAAAGGTAAGGTACAAAGAATCATTTTGTACAAAGACAATACACACTGGTCCAGTCACACAAGTTGTGCCCTGAATGAGTGCACAGAGTGGGGCCAAGTGTTTATCCTTGACTCCATTGCTAATTATAGTCCGAGGGATGAACGTGAGGCACAAAGGTAAGGTACAAAGAATCATTTTGTACAAAGACAATACACACTGGTCCAGTCACACAAGTTGTGCCCTGAATGAGTGCACAGAGTGGGGCCAAGTGTTTATCCTTGACTCCATTGCTAATTATGGTCCGAGGGATGAACGTGAGGCACAAAGGTAAGGTACAAAGAATCATTTTGTACAAAGACAATACACACTGGTCCAGTCACACAAGTTGTGCCCTGAATGAGTGCACAGAGTGGGGCCAAGTGTTTATCCTTGACTCCATTGCTAATTATAGTCCGAGGGATGAACGTGAGGCACAAAGGTAAGGTACAAAGAATCATTTTGTACAAAGACAATACACACTGGTCCAGTCACACAAGTTGTGCCCTGAATGAGTGCACAGAGTGGGGCCAAGTGTTTATCCTTGACTCCATTGCTAATTATAGTCCGAGGGATGAACGTGAGGCACAAAGGTAAGGTACAAAGAATCATTTTGTACAAAGACAATACACACTGGTCCAGTCACACAAGTTGTGCCCTGAATGAGTGCACAGAGTGGGGCCAAGTGTTTATCCTTGACTCCATTGCTAATTATAGTCCGAGGGATGAACGTGAGGCACAAAGGTAAGGTACAAAGAATCATTTTGTACAAAGACAATACACACTGGTCCAGTCACACAAGTTGTGCCCTGAATGAGTGCACAGAGTGGGGCCAAGTGTTTATCCTTGACTCCATTGCTAATTATAGTCCGAGGGATGAACGTGAGGCACAAAGGTAAGGTACAAAGAATCATTTTGTACAAAGACAATACACACTGGTCCAGTCACACAAGTTGTGCCCTGAATGAGTGCACAGAGTGGGGCCAAGTGTTTATCCTTGACTCCATTGCTAATTATAGTCCGAGGGATGAACGTGAGGCACAAAGGTAAGGTACAAAGAATCATTTTGTACAAAGACAATACACACTGGTCCAGTCACACAAGTTGTGCCCTGAATGAGTGCACAGAGTGGGGCCAAGTGTTTATCCTTGACTCCATTGCTAATTATAGTCCGAGGGATGAACGTGAGGCACAAAGGTAAGGTACAAAGAATCATTTTGTACAAAGACAATACACACTGGTCCAGTCACACAAGTTGTGCCCTGAATGAGTGCACAGAGTGGGGCCAAGTGTTTATCCTTGACTCCATTGCTAATTATAGTTCGAGGGATGAATGTGAGGCACAAAGGTAAGGTACAAAGAATCATTTTGTACAAAGACAATACACACTGGTCCAGTCACACAAGTTGTGCCCTGAATGAGTGCACAGAGTGGGGCCAAGTGTTTATCCTTGACTCCATTGCTAATTATAGTCCGAGGGATGAACGTGAGGCACAAAGGTAAGGTACAAAGAATCATTTTGTACAAAGACAATACACACTGGTCCAGTCACACAAGTTGTGCCCTGAATGAGTGCACAGAGTGGGGCCAAGTGTTTATCCTTGACTCCATTGCTAATTATAGTTCGAGGGATGAACGTGAGGCACAAAGGTAAGGTACAAAGAATCATTTTGTACAAAGACAATAAACACTGGTCCAGTCACGGAGTAGTTTTATCTTGTAAAGCGAATGATTAGAGACCTTGGGGACAAAACGTCCTCAAGTTCTGTGCAGAGTATTCCTTATGGTAGAATCATATCTGTAGTAGGGGTGGGACGGATAACCGAAATACCGAAAAACCGCGGTTCATAGCCTTTAGGATCGGTTTTCGGATCACGGCCCCACTTTCGGATCAGCTTTTCGGATAGTTTTCGGATTAATATTTCATTGGTCAAGTATCAATAAAACAGTTAAAAACACTGTTTTACAGCAACATTTTTGATATTCCTAGTCCCTACCTTGTCTGTTGCTCACTCGTTTACTAGATTCGTTTCGTAACTGCGTATTCGTATCCCTCGGTAATCAATCATGTGGTCCCTGGTACTATATTCTTTAGTCGTGTATTCTAAATAATATGTATTGTTCATGAAATACTATAACATAAAATTCCATCTATAAAATATTGTTATAACGTGGCATAATTGATACAAAGATTTGCACAAATTTATATTTGCGCAGGTTCAATCAATACAAATCCTTAAAATGAATGAACCGAACCGAAAAAACTGAACCGACGGCTGATGATCCAAAAACCGAACCGAACCGAAACGTCCCGTCCCATCCCTAATCTGTAGGGGGTGACAAAATTGCAAGCAACATGTACAATTGCCCCACTAATGTGTTCCTCACAATCTCCAATATAATATCTCCCAAAAGCTCCACAATAATATAAATCATGGTGAAGTTTTGAAAGATTCAAAGTAGAAAAATGTTTTATAATTTAATTAACTCTCCAAAATGTTTTTTTTGTCTGACATAACTGCAATTTATTAGCATCTAGCATGTTTTTTATTTGTTAATTTCTTATATTACACATAATTTCACATACATCTATGTACAATAATATGTATTAGTAAAGTAGGTAATATCTAAAATATAAAAAATCCACATACAATTTTGATATTTGATATGAAATAATGACTTTCCATATTCAAACAGTAACATCATGCATGTAATATTGTTTAATAACTGTTTTAAAACTACAGCGTGAACACAATCCAGGGCTCTCACCAGGAAATATTTAGGGTGTGGTTCAAACATCTTCAGAGTAACCGTTCAATCGTGATAAATCATATTTATGTTATATTTTATCCTTTTTCGTGCTATTATTGTATATTCAGTCAAGTTTAGACTGTGGAAGCAGTCATGATTTGCCAATAGGGTGTGGAGGGAGCTTAATAGAGTGTGCTGGTGCGCCACAGTCTAAAAGCCTGGCCAGAGCCTTGCAATCAATGGATGGTCTTATGAATAAAAATATTGTGATTGTACATTTCAGTATCTGTGAGAGAGTCACGCCACGTCTGTCTCATGCCAATGCTGCCGTTGTACTTTCCGCCATTAAGGTTGTCATGAAACTCCTAGAAATGATGGACCAATCAGCTGGCTTTGCGGGGACTCTTGTGAAGAAGCTTGCACCACCTTTGGTTACACTTCTATCGGCAGAGCCAGAGATTCAATATGTGGCCCTCAGGAACATCAACCTAATAGTACAGAAGAGGTTAGTGGCTTTACAATTTTCAGCATCATGCTTTTCCTGACTTACTTAGATATTATAGTATTGTTTCAGCATCAGACTTTTCCTAGAAAAAGGATATTTAGAGTAGTGTCATACTTTTGCACTAGCGTTATGAGGAGGAATAAAAATAAAGTTAGTTTCTCTCTATATTGAGTTTTGGCAGAGAATTTAGTAAAGAAAACTATTTATGATACATGTTCTTATTGTATTATGAATTTTGATTTATATTCCAGGCCTGAGATTCTCAAGCATGAGATGAAAGTTTTCTTTGTGAAATACAATGACCCCATTTATGTGAAGTTGGAGAAACTGGACATTATGATCCGTCTCACAAACCAAGCTAACATTGCCCAAGTGCTAGCGGAGTTGAAAGAGTAAGTTATCTCTATATTGACCACATGATCAGAGCTACTTATATTGTTATTTTTCTTGATTTGAGAGATAGTATTTGAAGGCAGTAAATCATTTAGATAGTACTATGTAATTTTCGACCGTGATATTATTTTCCATTGGTATAAAGTTTATCTAATCTAACTTTGAGGTTTTCCAACAATAAACAATTTTTGATGTTATGGCATGTTATTATTTTCCATTGATACAGAAGTTTACCAATAGATCAACAATTTCAGGTTTACTAACATGTGATTCATTTTTCTTTCAATGTAAAGGTACGCTACAGAGGTAGATGTGGACTTTGTGCGTAAGTCAGTGCGTGCTATTGGTCGCTGTGCCATCAAAGTGGAAGCCTCTGCTGAGAGGTGTGTCAGCACTCTCCTTGACCTCATCCAGACCAAGGTCAACTATGTTGTACAAGAGGCTGTCGTCGTAATTAAGGTACATATAGCATTGTTTAACCATATTACTTAATCTTTGAAGATCGTATTACTTTGTCTTCATTTTAGTGTTTGTGAAATTTCATTGCAAAGTTTGACCTCTAATGTGCTATTTTTGACCATTATATAGTGGAGACTGGTAAAATTGTAACCTTCACTCTAAATCAACATTCATTGCAAGTGAACCAGTGAGACAGCAGGTCAATGTCAACAGTCAAGTGCCCCCTGTAGAATTAAATAGATTTGTGTAATGGACATACTATTAAGTACATTCTATAAGTTTTCGGCATTTACATGTATGCTAAAAACTGATTGTAGGATATATTCCGCAAGTACCCCAACAAATATGAGAGCATCATCTCTACTCTCTGTGAGAACCTTGACACCCTGGATGAGCCTGAGGCAAGGTGAGAAAACATTGTTATCCTCAAATATACATACAGCTGCTTTCTTTAGACAAAGTCTGCTACTTGGACGAAGTCCAGAGATTACCCCACTTTCAAAAGTTGTGAATTTGCAAGCTTTCAATGATAGTATCAAATAATATAAGAGAATCACCACTGCCATGCAATGTCCAATTAAAAAAAATCAGGATTTTTTTTGTAAATCTGGGTAAGCTTACCCTGCGTGTAGAGTCTAGTTAAACTACACTCTGCCTAGTAGAGACCATATTACAGTTTAGTAGCCCCGCCCCCGCGACAGGCACCGGTGACAGTTTGGGTAATAAATCACTTTTGACCTACGCACTGACCTTTCTTCCACCAATCAGCCAAATGCGTTCTAATTAAATATGCGCATGTGATTGGTCAATTCCGGGCTCAATGATGATGTCAGAGGGAATGACCATATATAGAGCGTTGGTCAAATTTGGCCGATGAAAACTGTTTGGCGCGGTGAGTTCATAGGTTTATTTTAGTCAAATGAATGCAAAGGGTAGGGTAAGCTGAGCCTACTTACAATACACTGCTGGAAAATAACTCAATTTCTCACTAACCATGTTTACAGGGCATCTATGATCTGGATCATTGGGGAGTATGCTGAGCGTATTGACAACGCTGATGAACTACTGGAAAGTTTCTTAGAGGGATTCCAAGATGAGAATGCCCAAGTGCAACTTCAGCTACTCACTGCAATTGTCAAGTTGTTCCTCAAAAGACCCACTGATACACAGGAGCTGGTACAGCAAGTTCTTTCTCTAGCTACACAGGTATGAGTTCATTTATATCAGGGTCTAGACTTAAAATTAACGACAAAATACCAAAATTCATCATATTGGCATTCATTCCATTGCCCAATAGGCAACTTGTTTTCCAACATAAATGCCAAGAATTTAAAGGGATTGCCAAAGGCTAGCAGCTGTTACTTTAGCCCATTCATGTTATCAAATTCCATTGTTATTATCTTTTTGTACAGGACAGTGACAACCCAGATTTGAGAGACCGTGGCTACATCTATTGGCGACTCCTGTCAACAGACCCAGCTGCAGCTAAAGATGTTGTGCTGGCTGAGAAGCCTCTCATATCAGAGGAAACTGACCTGATAGAGCCTACTCTCCTTGATGAGCTGATCTGTCACATTTCCAGCCTGGCTTCTGTATATCACAAGCCACCCAGTGCATTCGTTGAGGGCCGGCAAGCTGTCAGGAAGGCCTTACCGCCAAGATCACAGTCGTAAGTCTACAAATCTTTTATTAGTTATGAATAACACAAGGAGTTTGATATTTTACATTTTAGAAAGGATGAGTCTTGGAATGAGTCTGGGTATCGACTTAGAAGATATTGAAAATTGTAATGTCTGAAAAACTAACTCAATCACACATATTATTAAACTTCAATATCTTATCCTTCTTCTGAGATTACAAAAATATCAATTTGTATCACAATTGATGAAGAATATTGGCATCAAAGACAGTGCTTGTCACTTTGTCAGAATTGAAAAAAATTCAATGGCAAATATTAAATGAATTATTTATACAAAAAGTGTGAAACATATCCTCCAAAACATTGCTTACTTTCTTTGTATAGACATTGAATGGTATTTCTGGATAAGTGAATTGGTGTTTATCTGGGTAATCAAGGGATTATAGTCACTCAAAGTAACTGAGCATCCAGTTTTTAGACTTCAATTGTGTTGGTGAAGTTGCACATATTTCAGTCAAATTCATGCTGAGCACAACATTTTGGTTTCAATTTTATAATCTCTACACATGACCCTGGTGATGAAGAGTCAGAATCAGTCAAAAAACCTAAACTGGAAAACTGTGCTCAATGTGAAAACTAAAAGTGAAGCAACTTTTTTTCTGATATTTCTTACATCAAATGGCAGCCATCTTGTTTTTCCCCCTTCAAATTAAACTGGCGGGAAATTCAAAAATTTGAAAAAAATTTAATCCTTAAATATTTTTCAAAAATATGATTTTCTCTTTAATTCTTTATGGATCTTAAGTTATTTCTTCTCTATATGTCATAAATGTTGCCATTGGTGTTTTTTCTATGATAATGACCCTTTTTTATTTATTAATATACTTATTCTGACTCTCAGCAGGGGGTTAATTATGCATCAAAACTCATGAAAAAGTAAATATACTTATCAAATATAACTAGGACAGTTATAAAAACCATATTTCACATACATTTGACTGAGAGACCAAAAGGGCATATATCCAGACACATCCTTTGTAATTTTTAACGCAATTGTAATATTCTTTCTGGGCATTTTAGGATTTCCTTATTTTTGACTATATCATCTTAGGAGGCACATGGAACTATTTGATGTGCTGGACCTCAGATATTTCAATGTTGGTACTGCACTCCTTCAACCAAATAATGAATAATTATATTGTAGTGGAGAAGGAGAGGCAGTACAGGCTGCACCAGAGGCTCCAGTTGCCCCTCCACAGCCACAAGCTACAGTCATTCCTGGTATGGATTCTCTTACTGGAGACCTGCTAGATCTTGACCTTGGCGGTCCAAGCACCTACCAGCCTCCAGCAGCTGTGCAACCACAACCAATTGGAGGAGGTTCAATGGATCTGCTTGGAGAGGGACTCGATAGCCTGGTGAGTGGGTAAAAGTTGCTACTGGTTAGCAATCAACCAATAAATTAATCTGATACAATGAACTGTTCCAATTTGTTTAACTCATTTTTTATAAATATATTTGAAAATAAAATGAGTTTGCTTGTCTTATTTGTAACTGGCCCCTAGAACCCACGAAATCATTGCAATTTCCTAGTGAAAAATATACAATCACCATTTTATTGTGCTTTATTTATATTTCAGCTTGGGCCCAGCCCTGTATCAGGTATGGACATGGGACCTGGCCCTCGTGGTGGAGGCGTTGGGGACTTATTTAGTCTTGCTGGTCTTGTCCCAACTACATCCTATGTACCACCCCAGGAGACTTGGATAGAGGCAGGAAAATCTAAAGGTAGGTGTGCTTGCGTTGGTATACCTGTGTGTTACATTCATCCTTCCATTTTACTTGGAATTGCTGTATTAATTATCCCATCGAACGAAGTTCGGAGGGATATAGGGAACGCCTCCGTCCGTACGCACGTCCGTCCGGGCAATAACTCAAATACCGTTGGCCCGATTTTGTTCATATTTTGTACACATATATCCTATGGGGGTAGAAGTTCTGCTCGAAAGCCGATTTTCAAAATGGCCACTCATTTAAAAATGGCGGCCATTTTAGTGCCGATTTTACAGTAATTTAAGTGCAATATGTAAAACTGTAATAGCAAAATATAGAAGTATTTTACTATAACTGGAAAAGTAGTGGAGCGATTTTGTTCATATTTGGGATGTGAATATTATAAAGAAAAAGCATATTACTTCTTCTGATGACAACTTGGCGAGTGAGCAACCATTTTGAAAATGGTGGCCTTTGTTATGTGTGTTATTTTATGATATTTGCTATATATTTCGTTTGTAAAAATGCCAGCCATTTCTGTTTGATGGGATTCGCTATGCTTTGGCGTTGCCGTTGTTCTGGTTGTATGTTATCATGATTTCCATAAGTAACACTATTGCGGCGTTACTTGCAGTGGCAAAGGGCCACATATGCTAATTTCATTCAGTTCAAATTGTTATTGCACTGTACACATTTGTGTTCTTGTTCTCATCTTGGGCTCTGGAGTACAATAATTTATATGTTGAAGAATATATGAGTTATGGATGTGGATTGTTCATAGGTATGGAAGTGAATGGTACATTCTCCAGGAAAAACAACCAAGCTTGCATGGAGCTGACCTTTACTAACAAGGCTATGTCTCCTATGGCTGGTTTTGCTGTACAGTTCAATAAGAACAGGTAAGATGAATAAAAAAAATAACAGGAGTACCTGTTCCATATTTGTTTGTTCATTCCCATTTGGTTCCTCCATTCTCTGTTTCTTCACATTCAGTGTTCTTTCAGGGATATTTCTCAAGTTTGTTCAGAATTCTTATTTTCACAGTTTAGACCAAATTTAGTTGAGAAGGGTCGGTCACGGTTTGGTTCGGTTCGATTCGTTACGATTCTCGGTTTTTGTTTTCGGTTCGGTCGGTTCTTCAAATCATTTACTTAATAAAGTGGGCCTCATAAATTGCAATTGATGCTACAAATATGGCAACATAAAAAGGTGTTTCACTTTTATTTTGTATTATTAGGTGATACGATTTAATTTTCAATCTTAAAAATGATCAAATTGGAATCGTGATAGCTGATAATCATTGAATATTTATGGAATTAAATAAAGAATTGAACTATTTGTAGCTGGCTATCAAAGCAGCTTGCCCCATATTAGATGGGCGGATTCCTTTTTAAACTGGGTCTGGTTGGGTAAGACCTTTCAATATGTTTTCCCACGGTAGATGTGCTTCTTGAAAATTGAAATTATATGGATAGTACAGATGTCCTTCAGTTGGGAATAACAGTGCAGTGGGTAGGGGGGGGGGGGTGTTTAACCAAATTCTCACGCTAAGTTAGGACCTGGGGCAGGACACATGAAAAAGTGTATATATCAGTCATAAAAATGTTACTATGAGTGGGTAATAGAAGGAATGGATTGAAGTCTAATAAAGATAGCAGTCTAATATTAAAATTAGGTCTAAAAGATTTTATTTGACTATTTACAAAAAGTTTCAATCACAAAAATTGGAAACCTGCAGCGTATTTCAATGTCGTGTTGCACAGCCAACATAGGGTAGACGTATTCTCCTTGGAGAAACCAAATATTTCCAAACATCCAACTTAGGCATCGTGGGGAAAGGTTCTATTATGGTTTTACTAGCTCTTTGCCTAAAACATTGAAAACTGTCCACCTTAGTGTTTCCGTGCGAAATGAATTCACGCTCGCAAATAGAATTATGTTCCCCCAAGACGTGGAAGCACAATGAAATATCCAAGGAGACAATTTTATTACCCAATGGATATCGTTTAAAGTTGTTCAATTGTCGTTTAAATGGTACTTTCATTCGCTATTTAGATAGAGCTGTAATTATTTGCGCAAAAATTGGGATTCATGTTACCACGGTGGGGATTGTCATCACGTGACCTTCGTAATTGATGGTGTCTGAACAAGCTGTACGATTTTCTCGATTAAGCCAGATAAATGAATATTTTTCATATTTATATTTTGTTAACAGCGTCAAATTTCTCCCCACTTATGTATACTATCTCAGTCTTTGAAATGAACATAAATTGACAAGCAGAGGACGCATATTATTTGAGACATGACTGTTTTTCGTTTCGAAAAATGATGGTGTCTGAACAACTATAAAATTCTGTATGATGGTGTCTGTACAAATTTTTGAATACACGACATGGATACCAGTCTCCATATGTTTTCATGTGTAATTGTTTATTATATACGAGGCATTCCTGTACTTTCGTATATTCAAGGCTTTGTATAAAAACCTAGTACCTCGTACCCACGTCCCGACCCACGTACGTGGGGCATGATACAGTCTTTGAAGGGTTCAATTTTTTAAATATAAGATCATTCAATCTTCGTCTATGCTGAATTGTAAATGCATTAGTGCACGTCGAAAAAAGGCAAACGCATTCCGTTCGGACTTTTCACGCGAGTTTAGTTTTTATGGTTCCTTTATTTAAACAGTCTTAATATACAGCATAAACAGGGCCTAAGCCAAAGCATTATTGGCCCTGTGGGTAACATCATTTGAATTTACATAAAAGGTGGCTCTCCTGTTTGGAGAAATGAACTGATTGTTTTGACTAATCATAAATACATGTTATTTTAGACAATTTCTATTATCTTACAAAGAAAATCTGTAAAAGATTTAAAAACTAGACCTTTAATAGAATTATTCAATGAAATGTCACCAAACGCGAGTTCCGTATGTCACGCATTTCCTTTGAAATATGTGTATACTTGTATGTCGAGCATTTTCTTCGAAATATTTTGTACCATTTTGGATGTTGACTATACTCGTGCTACAAATGTACAAAGTGGATTAAGAATATAACTATACAATTGAATAATAACTCAAGGGAAATTGGTAACCTGCCTAGAATGTCAAGATAACCCTTAGGAAAAAACCCATGTTTTTACATGCCTGGCGAAAGATGGCACATGTTCTTACTTTACTTCACTTTAATTCGCTTCATTTTGCCCCATGTGTGGCGTGGCATGTTGTTGTAAAAACAAGAGATGGCACTCTTGATTTTACTCCACTTTTACACGGGGCAAACTGTGGCAGAACATGAACAATGTGGCAAAATCATGTAACTCTTGTCTTGGTTTTACATGACTCCGCCATGTTTTTCCCACTGTGTTTAAGTATGGGGAATCGTGGTTACATGAATTAACATGAAATGTAGTACATTTTAGAGAAAATAGAGGGACTTACTTATGCTCCTTAATTCACCTGGTTAGATGTTTTTATTTCATTCTATTTTTACTATTTTACATTTCTGACAGTTTTTAGGCATTAAGGAGCCCTAACCAAATAAACTATGAAAAGGCATATTTTCTTTTGGAAACCAACTTCTCGAGTAAATCATATTTTTATATTCTAAAACTGCATCCATGAACCTGTAGTTAAAGCTGTATATAGTAGAAAATTGAACCTGTAGTAAGTAATTGAACCTATAGTTGAACCTGTACTTGAGAGTTTTACATGTAATTGAATTGAAACTATAGTTAAACCCGTAGTTGAGAGTTTTACATGTAATTAAATAGAACCTATAGTTGAACCTGTAGTTGAGAGTTTAACATGTAATTGAATTGAACCTATAGTTAAACCCGTAGTTGAGAGTTTTACATGTTATTCAATAAATCTATAGTTGGACCCGTAGTTGAGATTTTTATATGTAATTGAATAGAACCTATAGTTGAACCTATAGTTGAACCTGTAGTTGAGAGCTTTACATGTAATTGAATTGAACCTATAGTTGAACCTGTAGTTGAGAGTTTAACATGTAATTGAATTGAAACTATAGTTAAACCCGTAGTTGAGAGTTTTACATGTTATTCAATGAACCTATCGTTGAACCCGTAGTTGAGATTTTTACATGTAATTGAATAGAACCTATAGTTGAACCCGTAGTTGAGAGTTTAATATCTAATTGAATTGAAACTATAGTTAAACCCGTAGTTGAGAGTTTTACATGTTATTCAATAAACCTATAATTGAACCTATAGTTTGTCAGTTTAGTTGAAAATAGAACCTATAGTTTAACCCGTAGTTTAGAGTTTTACATTTAATTGAACTGAACCTATAGTTGAACCTGTAGTTGAGAGTTTTACATGTTATTCAATGAACCTATAATTGAACCTATAGTTTGTCAGTTTAATTGAAAATAGAATTATAGTTGAACCCATAGTTTAGAGTTTTACATTTAACTGAATAGAACCTATAGTTGAACCTGTAGTTGAGAGTTTTACATGTTATTCAATGAACCTATAATTGAACCTATAGTTTGTCAGTTTAGTTGAAAATAGAACCTAGTATAGTTGAACCTGTAGTTTAGAGTTTTACATTTAACTGAATAGAACCTATAGTTGAACCCGTAGTTGAGTTTTACATGTTATTCAATGAACCTATAATTGAACCTATAGTTTGTCAGTTTAGTTGAAAATAGAACCTATAGTTGAACCCATAGTTTAGAATTTTACATTTAACTGAATAGAACCTATAGTTGAACCTGTAGTTGAGAGTTTTACATGTTATTCAATGAACCTATAATTGAACCTATAGTTTGTCAGTTTAGTTGAAAATAGAACCTATAGTTGAACCCGTAGTTTAGAGTTTTACATTTAACTGAATAGAACCTATAGTTGAACCCGTAGTTGAGAGTTTTACATATTATTCAATGAACCTATAATTGAACCTATAGTTTGTCAGTTTAGTTGAAAATAGAACCTATAGTTGAACCCGTAGTTGAGAGATTTACATGTTATTCTATGAACCTATAGTTGAACCCGTAGTTGAGATTTTTACATGTTATTCAATGAACCTATAATTGAACCCGTAGTTGAGAGTTTTACATATTATTCAATGAACCTATAATTGAACCTATAGTTTGTCAGTTTAGTTGAAAATAGAACCTATAGTTGAACCCGTAGTTGAGAGATTTACATGTTATTCTATGAACCTATAGTTGAACCCGTAGTTGAGAGTTTTACATATTATTCAATGAACCTATAATTGAACCTATAGTTTGTCAGTTTAGTTGAAAATAGAACCTATAGTTGAACCCGTAGTTGAGAGTTTTACATGTTATTCAATGAATCTATAATTGAACCCGTAGTTGAGAGTTTTACATCTAACTGAATAGAACCTATAGTTGAACCTGTAGTTGAGAGTTTTACATGTTATTCAATGAACCTATAATTGAACCCGTAGTTGAGATTTTTACATGTAATTGAATAGAACCTATAGTTGAACCCGTAGTTGAGATTTTTACATGTTATTCAATGAACCTATAATTGAACCTATAGTTTGTCAGTTTAGTTGAAAATAGAACGTATAGTTGAACCCGTAGTTTAGAGTTTTACATTTAACTGAATAGAACCTATAGTTGAACCCGTAGTTGAGAGTTTTACATGTTATTCAATGAACCTATAATTGAACCTATAGTTTGTCAGTTTAGTTGAAAATAGAACCTATAGTTGAACCCGTAGTTTAGAGTTTTACATTTAACTGAATAAAACCTATAGTTGAACCGGTAGTTGAGAGTTTTACATGTTATACAATGAACCTATAATTAAACTTATAGTTTGTCAGTTTAGTTGAAAATAGAACCTATAGTTGAACCCGTAGTTTAGAGTTTTACATTTAATTGAATAGAAACTATAGTTGAAC